TAAGCCCAGGCTTTGTTTTTAAGTCTCCAGCTTTATATGATAGGGAAACTAGAGGGGGAAAAAAGAGAGTGAATGTTTAAATGGTCTATTTATTCGGGTGGGATGCTAATACAATACTGAGGTATATTTGGTTATTCAAAAATTGTTTTCAGTCATTAAAAACTATTGCAAACTTGATGTTGGCCACGCAAAGATAAATTCAAATTCGCTGCATTTGGTTTTGCCTTCAATGAAAAGTACATTGAGACATGATACACTTCCTGCCTTATAGGCAGGAAGTGTATCATAAATGAGACAGCAGTATCATTTACTCAAAGGTGATGCTTCGAGTTAGCAACAATGATAGTAAGTTGAATTTGCAGGTATAAACTGCTCCTTCTGCCATGACGGGGCAACGATTTGGTTGTCAACTTGAACTTTTGCCATCTTGGGCATTCTGTCCTTGACTTTTCAAGGGAAAAAGAGTCAAGTACACCACAGTTGATTTCATATCAACCATTCATCAATATTTACCTACAACGCCAACATTTATGAAAACTGTTGCCTTAGAAAATATTTCTATAGTCAACCAGAAGCAATAAAAACAAAAAGGTTTTCATCGTCGCAATCTCAAAGGACTGATTGGACACAATAGTTGGTTGGACATTTTTCAAGTGCCATGCATTCCCACTCTGCATGCCAATAACATATTTGGGTATGTGGATGTGTCCTACTGCCTCAATGCACACAGTATCATTACTTCTGATGGCTGAGATGCTACACATCACAAAAAAAAAAAAAAAAAAAATCGCTGGGAAACTGCAATGGCAAAAGATTGGAAAATGTAGATTTTTCATAATTGACAACATTGCAAGATTCAGCAATTGTTTTATAATGATGCGTTTTCCTGATATTTCCCTATATTCAACATAACTTTCTGTAAGAAAATGTGATTATATAAATGTAGTGAATAATATCTACCAGCAGATTGGTATGCATGTTTGATCATCAGTCATAATCTGGGAACATTGTAAATGAACTTAATTTATATGCCGCTTTAAACTACACCAACATTCCCTCAAAGGCAGACTGGGAGGCAATTTGAGGTTAAGTGCCTTGCCCAAAAGCACATTAATATGCGACAGGAGAAAGCTGGAATCAAACCTACAACCTCCCAATTGCAACATAACAACACCATCTTTGAGTCACAGTTGCCAAGTGGTGCAACGAAAACAATTGTGGGGTCAAAATATCCTCAGAGAGCAAATACTGCTTCCCTCACCTTGTTTTTCCATCATCACAACTCCCAATGTACTTTAATATCTAACTCACTACTTTTTGTATCATGTGTAGAAACTAAAGGTCAAAAGTCAAACTCTATCCAACTGATCGGTTACATTATCAGAATGCATCACACTTCAAATATAGTACCCTACCAAATAATGCATGAAAGCCGTCCTTTGGGATTGTGATTTTGCACATGTTCATCCTGAGATAACAGTGGTGATGCCTTATACCAAACACTGTCAGTCTTCATTTCCTTTTGATCCATATACTTATAAAAATCTAAAACTATAAACATTTTTAACAGTTTTCTAGTACACCACAGAACCATTTGTGTCACTGCTGAAAAACCTGCTTTGGGCTTCAAACAAAATGAGCCGCAAGAGTACTACAGAGAAAACATTCCCTCCAACTATATTTTATCCTCAAAAGGATTTTATTTGCAGATATCTTTTGCAATATTTAGTGCTTCTCTGCAAGAGTCACATGGTTATTTAGCAGAGATTTACTTGTACAAATTGCTGTCGAAACAAGGTCCGGAGAGAAAGTAGCCGTTTTTAAGGCTAAGTGGATCCATGCTGTTTGCCATCTGAGCCCAAACAAGAGTTTCATTCCAGACATGAATGCTGTCTGAGTCATCGCGCAAGGCTTCTAAAACACTAGACGCTCGCATCAGTCAGGAAGAATGCACTGTAGGCTGGCTGCTCGTTGCCAGAATGAATACATTATCTTTGAAACTAAAGCCTTCAAAAGTGCCACAGTGAGGTCAGGGTACCTTGCCTGTATCTTGTAAAGAAAGCAGAGAAGGTTGAAATTAGCGCATGAGCTCAATGTCAAACAGTGCACACTGGGGCCAAGCTCAGGGTAATCTCTAACTGCATAGTTGCACTTAATGGAGAGAATCTAAACAATTCAGTAAGTCATAAGTTAAAACAGACCATCCTTTTTCCTCTTTGAGTGCCTGTGATTGTTGTTGAGGATAATTATTATTTCTAAAATCCATTTTACAATGAGCTGTAAATATGATTTGTGTAGGCAGCTGGTAACAGCAGTGATTGTTCAGTCAACTGAATAAAAAAAGTTGCTAAAAACTATTAGTAATACACTTCAGAAAACAAGTTACAATTCAAGTTTTAAGCTCATGTTATTAATGCACACACTGATTGCTGATCTACAAGTGAAAGCTCCATCCACACAGATCACACACCGCATGCAGGGCTCAGAAACAGGCTCATTAAAAAAATCATAATAATCATAATAACTATGTGTAATAAAATTTGTGAAGGGTGTTTGTAGATATAATGCATACAACAACTACATATTTGCTGGGCGCTGTGTGAGAGCAGCTGTTAGCGCCGCTCAGAGAGGCAGTGAGAACCTCTGAAGTTGATTTTACTGTTGTAGACAAAAAACACTGTAGCAAAGCACCATTTCGCATGCTGTTTTCACTACTGAAGTAACACTAAGCTTCTTTGAAAAAATGAAAATTTAAAAAAGGGTTAAATACCAAGCAACAAAGATGCGTTTAGTCTATCTTCCAAAATGATTCACTCTGAACAGCAGGTGTTAAAGTCTGTTAATTTGTGATAATACATAACTTAATGTGAAGACGTCAAGTCTTTGATGATTTTTGGTTTTAATAAGCGCCTCCAAATGAATCTTCCTCAGTAAAACAAAGCTTGTTATGTGGGTCGGTTTCCTATAAAGTTCTGACCTTTTGCGTCAAACAAATATGTGAGAACTGAAAATAACTTTTATTCTAATCGCATTTTAATGGATGAGTCCTAGTTCTGTTTTGCACTCCTCGTTGTCACATTTTATTCATTGCACATTTTATTCATTGCACATTTTAATCGTCACTTAAAATCAATTGTCTTTGTGAGCCTCAATTTCCCATTAATTTTTAGAGTTTTCTCTTGAGCCTTAGATACGTCAAGGGCCAGATGAGGCCCAGTGGCTGAAACTGGAAATGACTTCAACACAGGTTAAGCAGAAGGTCCTGAAATAGAGAGTTTTTACCAAATTGTGCTGCACACTGTAAAATACTAACAAAGCATTAAAGTTGCTTTTTCACTCAAAGATGTATAAATAAAGATCAGACTCCAGTGTGGATTAGAAAAAATTGTTAGCATAAGGTTATTCAGGTAAGATACATTAAGATGTAGAATATGTACACTTTGATTAATTCCTATCTTTGTTGTATTATTAAAACTTACTTTCTTTTGACCAACTGTTTAGTTGTCTGGTTTTATGCATGATGATCCCCAACATTTGTTTCACCTCTCACACTCCGGCCTTCCTTTTGGTAGAGACGAACATGATGTTTGAGTGAGACTCAAAAAGCAGAGAAAAAAGGGAACCAGAGCTCCTTGCTTCGCTATCGGTTCTGCTCCTCCAGGGCACTGAGCTAAAGAACCGCGTCACTTCCTCGGCAACACTAACAGCGGTAACATGGCCGCGCCGTGTTGACCACCATTGAGATAGTCACGAATGTTTGATTTAATCAAACCTGCCTATTGTCTCTCTGGACAGATATCAGGCCGTGGCAGTGACACGACCCCGGCCCGGCACACAAAAGCGGCCTCTGTGCAGGGACTGCACACAAACGCTGGCTGACAACACAAGACCCGGGGATGAAAGGACTCTTCAGTGTGTGGTGACAGTTATTACCCTCTCTGCTGAAACCAAATACCTGTGGCCCTAGATAGCATTATCTTTCTGTGAGGCACACCAGGGGGCCAGCCTGTAATCGGGGCTTGGTCCTTGATCAACTCTCTGCCCCAGTTTTTATGCAATCACCTCCTCCTCCTCCTCCCCACCAACCTATAAAGGAGTAGCTTAGCAATCATAGAACACCACACTGAATCAGATGGTATGTAAAACTAAAAGAAAACCTTTAGAGGGTCTCACAGTTCAGTCTCTGATGGAACACCGGGTGCTCAACATGATGAAAACAACAATTTAAGGTCAATCACTGCTCATACTAACCCTCCCGTAGGAAGTTATATAACACAGAGACATGAAGAAGGAGATAATATGAGGATGAAGTGCACAAGGGAAACTGCAATACAGATTTATAGATTTATTAAAAGAAAGCAACTATGCAAGGTTAAAGGAATACACAGAGAGAAGAAGTGTGCAGCAGCCAAGAGAAGAGGCATGTTTGGTCAATCAGACACTCTGAGTTGCCTTGAAACAAGCATGTTTACCCCAGGATAAACTCTTGACCTCTTTCTGGTCAGTTCCACAACAATTCCTAACAGCCCCATGACAGATAGCCCTCTTTAATCCTGCAAGAAAACAACATGAGCTCGGTGTCATTTGAAACTAAAACCAAAGCGGTTTGTTTTGGTACCTGGATTTTCCCACCTGGTTTCATATTGCAGCTCTTCTAAAGCACATTGTTTTGCATACAACAAGACAGGATGAATTTTTAAAAAACGGGAAAAAAAGGAAATGGCCATCAAAAAGTATGTACCTTCTGATAAAACATGCTACTTTCCATAAGGAGAGGCCAAAAGTTTAAAATAAAACTGTGCGGTGTAATGACTCACACAGACGTTGCTAGGTGATGATGAAAACTGCACCTTAAGGACAAGCATCAAAACAAAAACAAGGCAATCTGCAACTTCCCTGAGAAGCGAGGCCGACATCACGGCTCACGACTTTCACGGTTTAAAGCGTGTTTGCCTCGGTTAACTAAAGCCGTCAGAGTGGGTGTCAATAAGAGACCTTACCAACAGCCTGGGTGACGAGGTTGGCTGTGAGCAGGCTCTCTCAGGTTCACGCGAAACTCATTTTAAGCCCATCAGAGGACAGGTGTGTTTATGCTGGGCAGGTATCCTCGGCAGACGTGCAAGCTCTCGCCACAATGATTCCACAGAGCTAAATATGGCTTTGTGCTAACGCAGACAGGAGGCTCATCAAAGCCCTGATGTCAGAGGGAAGGGGCGGGGCTTACGGGACACAGGTCAGGTCTTTGCATGGTGCAAAGGAGCAACTGCACTTTTAGTAAGAGGTGTTGCATTATGGGTCACGTAAATATTCCTTCACTCTGCCTTCTAATTTAAGAGGGCACTGAACTTTCCCACAATTTAATATGATACATGATGTACATCAGCTCTACACTGTCACTTTCAA